CGACGATACGAGGGTATCGGTCGAACGTCAGACGTCGCTCAGAGTTACAGGAATATGACCGTGGAGAGTGAAACCGGAGTGACAGCGTTATTAGTTTCGCCTATTCCTAAACATAGTTCGCCTGGCGAGACGAAAAAGGCTTTTCCGGTTTCGATCGTGTTTAGAGAGAGAAAATTATTCGATGCTGCTCATGGAACGTGATCGTCGCGTCGGCCGAAGATGAGTGGACGGTGTCAGTGGACCGAAATAATTCGATCGTGAATCGGCACCGGTGGGTAATTAGTTTCGGCGACCCGTTTCCAATTAGGGTAAACTCCTGTAACGAGGTTATTGTCGGACGATGTTGACTCACTGCACGGGCAGGATGAATGTTGCGGCGTTGACGGCCACCCTTCGCGAGTGTCGTATGGATTAACCAGATACTTTAATGACCTTTAACGACGAGCAATTAGCTCGAATCGGACGGTAACGCTATCGGTCTTGCGTTACAACTTCGGTCAACGTGGCTACGTGAACATCACGTTCCGGCGTAACGGGCAATGCTCTTTGCCCGGTAAAATTACACTCGATCGACCAATCGAATTAAACGAAAATTCTTTCTTCCCGTTCAGTCAAATATGTACTTTCGCCCGAAAATTGTTTCCTCGTTTCGAGACCCGCCGTTCGACCCCGACACTAATTTGCCCCGATGGTTTACGCAAGATCCGGCTGATTTTTGTTCGAGGGCAATCCACTCGAGAGACCGAAATCTGGCACCGGATCCTAATCTGTTTGTCGGGAACTTAAAAAGATAGCAAGCCCTTTCCAACAGTACGAGGCCGTTCTCGAGGTTGCGGCACTTTGGTAACAAGACTCGCGTGCCTTTCGGGATCTAGACGTGTGTGTCGACGTGAATAACGTGGACGTATACATATACACGCGTGTGTTTCATTCCGAACGAACACCAGAGGTCCACGCATGTGTCTTCGTAGACTCGTTCCGTCCTCCGGATAGATTGTCGTTAACCACATGCCCTCGGTTCTCGTTAGCCTCCTTTATTAGGGGCATCGTCGAGATCCTACAAGCCGCCTAATCTGTACGCTCGTTACACGTCACCGAGATTGCCAGTCAGGATTTCCGTTCGAACGCAGATTCGCAGATATTCGCGCGATCAGTCATCGGGCATGACAATCGAGTTTTTTTCAGGAGAAGTCTACACGCAGCAACAACTTGTCCCCGTAGGTTTCATTGACTTTTTGCTCGCTAGAAAATTATTACGTTCTTACATCCCGTTGACGGATTATTTTATTATATTTAATAAGAACTTTTTTAGAAGATCATAATGGAAAGAATCTGGTATGTTCACTGTTTGAAGATTGGTATGCTAGGTTTGAAATCGGAAAGTAACAGGATGACTAATACTAATATTATACGTATCGTACAAGAATTGTTGATTCAGTCTTAAATCTCTTATAAAGTGAGTCGCGAGAACTAGTAGTCCGCGGAAGCGTTGAAAATTTGATTCGAGTGAAAACGGCTTAATGAACATTAAGAATACTTTTTACGAAGCGTCGACAGACTCGCTGCTTCCCCTTTTACGCTCACCATGGGAGAAAGAGGGGGAACAGTCGGGTCAGCTTTTGTATATACGAAACCGTGGGGTATTCTCGAGCCATGCCGGGTCGTTAGTTTCGTGAGGTTTGTTAGTGGGCCCGAGATACTTGTTCCGAGCCTTTCGGTCTTTTGTACAGACTCCGTTCCCCTGGCTGTCGCTGACGTCAAGAACGGTGTGGAATTTCAAACTGCCACCCGCGTTCGGTCCACGAACGATTCTTCGTGGTCTTTCCTGCGCGTCGGATGGCTCTACTCTCGTTCGATTATTTAACGAACTTTATACTCGTGCGTGTCAACGATTTGGACACTCTTCGTTGCAATTGAAATCGCGTAAGGGTGAACGTCGTATGTCTTTGTCGAGTGCACCCTTTGCTTTTACCATCGCGAAACGTTCACAGATACGAAGACCGGATGGATTTAATGACCCTGGATCCCTCACAGCCCACCCTACGTGGTTCATTTGCACGCATCTTCTCGTTTGATTTAAAAGAAGCCAAGAATATACTTCCAGATATATTATTAGGAGAATTGGATGGGGAAAATGGGTCCTTAATAATTTTAATCGAGTCAAAATTTTCTTAAGACGATGTACTTTATTTCTCTGCAGATCATTCTTGCCCTTGAAGCTTTCCACTTGTACTCGAATTACTGGTAGATACATATGTGAATTCTGGTGTTAGGGGGTTTACCATTTCCTATGACAGAAAGAAGAAACGATTATATATTAATGTTTCGATGTATACTCTGTTATATACTCGGTAAACGCAGGCCTGCGTAAGAATTAATAATTGTAATTTTTTAATCAACTTACCTCGAAAAGCTGTTCTGCGTTGTGCGAAGTGTGCCTTCTTGGATGAACGTAGGTTTTTGGATCTACCGATTGCTCGAGTAGAGTAGTTATACGTATAGAGATCGTAATTCAAAGTGCTTGGCAAGTGAAGAGAGGAAGAAACGATTAGGAAGCATGCATATGCGGAAAAATGACAAACAAATGGCGATCGTATTTTTCTAACGGAGAGGAGTTGGAAGAGTACGTTGACGGTCGTAAAAGCGCGATGATCTGTGGATAAAGAGGGTGAACAGAACGGCTGGTACCGAGGGGGTCGCAAATTGAATAACAAACGTTCACCCTTCTTGGTTAAATCACCGAAAAAGTCATCCCCCGGGCTTGTACGCTGTTCGACATTAACCGCACCCCCCGCGGAATCGTCGGATTCGGTCGCGTCGTCGGGTCTCGTCTCGTCGCGACGCCTCAGACCCTCCGTTGCTGCTTTGCATAACGATCTTATTCCGTAATCTCCGCCATATTGATCCGATTTAAGAGGGGGTACCGCGAGCGGGGAGACCGTTTATGGCTCGGTTACGGTCTGTCGTTGTCAGACCGTTCAATTTTCTCCGTGAAGCGCTTTAGAAATAATTGCGGTGTTCCGAATGGAGAAAGAATAAACACACTCCGCCCTGCTCGATTCTCTCTGTCTGTCTTCCCCTCGGAATAGTTGGAATTACCGGGCACACGCATCTTCCCCTTAATGGCACGTGATTAAAAGAAAATTACGCAGACGTTTGGGATGCCGGGGTAATTAAATTTATCGAAGCTTATAAAGCTGCGTGTCGCGTATATACGTCATTATTTAGGCATTAGCGGAGGAAGGCTCGGCCTGGGTTTCGAATAAGCCGAGTCATCCACGGTAATAACGTCGAGTGTGCCTTGGATACGCGGCGAGCGTTCTCGGGACCGGCAGAAATAGGCCAACAGGAATATATATCGTCGAGTAGATAAAAACCCTTTTCGGGTTAATCAACGTAAGGAGATCGCCGGAGAAAAAGAAAAGAACGTTGCGGTCCTTGCTTTCCGTTCGCGAACCGACAAAGGGAGCGCAGGGCGTTGGCTAATGATTTTAATGCAATCACGCGTGTAATCTACGAAAGTGTAGCATCGAACAACGCGCAAGAATCGAGCGTTTCAACGATTTAACGGTTGAAAGCTCGAATCGGTGTCGGTCGATTGAACGACAGTGACGTTAAAGCAGATTTGGAATGGAAATTGGCAGGATCTATAAACTTACATTTGCGGCGATCTCGGTCGTATCGTTCCATCCGTCATTTTCGAGGACGTAGGTGGATACCTGTCACTGACGAACACATCTTCCCGGGGATGTCAGTGCAGGTTTCCAAAGTAGCAGCAGCAGGAGCAAGGGCCGAGCTAGGAGATGAGAGACGTTTAGTGGAGAACACGATCACGAAGGGAATCATCATCATCATCCAGGCGTATCGTTACTCACAAAAGCATCGTTTATTTCCTCTTTATCTCTTTCAAAATGAATTTATAATCTTTATAATAATACATCAATAATAATTATCAATAATTAATAATAATAATAATAATTAATTAATTCATAATATCGTGATATTAAGTTCGATGAAGGTTGTCGATCGATAACAGGATGCAGTCCGAATTTCAAGTTCCAAACGCAATCACACGACAAAGGGAAATAATATCGAAACGCGACAATGAAAATCCGATAGGTGTGTTCCCGTTGGTCGACGGTGTCTCTGCACGATCGGCGACGCGTCGTTTGGAACCTGCTCGGAGAGAAATCTCCTATATCCCTGGATCGAAAATCATATACGTGGACGTTGTCGAAGTTCGATCGCACCTTCTCGTATAATGCATTTGTTGCGTGTATCTCTACGTGTAAGTGTATGGTACAGCGCGACAGTGCGTTTATATAGAATTTTTTACAACATTACACCGCTTAATTAATATAATATCTTTCTCACGCGCTATTTATAATATTTACAAGTAACAAAGTCGGTACTATCGGGCGACTGGAAAACTGCCGACCAAGGAGATTCGTAGATCAGTGGGGGGTGGAGGGTGGGTCTTGGGGAAAGAGAATCTACCAGCGACAGGGTCGTTCGACGTATCGAATCGCTTCGAACATCGTGTGCGGTACGAAAGACTCGAGAACAACGTACGTTCGTTCCAAGATGGTTAGCGTGCAAGGACCGACCGAGGTTCGACGAGACGATTCGGTTCGGGTGGATGAAAGTGATGTGCCGCCTGATTTCGGCCAGCGTTCGAAGCAGCCTGAAAGCAAAATCCGTCGTCGTCGGTATCCGTTCGGACGGGTAAAGACGTGGTAAAACGGTTAGAGAGTGGACGAAGCGTCAACCTAGAGACTATGTACAGGCGCGGGGGACGAGGGTGAGGGAGTCTGCGCGGTCCCCGGCGTGCCAGGATTTTGTTGCACGGAATAGGAGTTACTTTGACGCGAGTGCTGTTGTTGTTGGTGGTGATGGTGGTGGTGATGGTGATGGTGATGGTGATTCTGGGGTTGGTGATGGGCGGTGGTGTGGTGATGACCGATGGTCGCGTGATTCTGTACGAGGTTCAGGTTGAGGGGGTAGGATAGGGGGGAGCCCAGGGCCGTTGCGGCAGCGGAACTGCAGGCACCGACTCCGGGCCCCACCGGGCTCAGTGCATGCTCATCCCCGCGTGCGGATGGTGGGCCGCTACCGCCGCCGCCGGGACGGATGTTGCGTGATGATGCGGATGGTGCATTAGAGGAGGGAGATGCGGGTGGTGGGGATGGTGTGGGGTCAGAGGCGGTGGGGTCATCTGTATTGGGGTCATGGGTGTTGTCGGCTGATGGCCGTGATTGGTGGTGGTCTGGGATGTGGTGTTGTTGGTGTCCTGGCCCGCCGCCACCGCCGCTGCCGCTGCCGCCGCCGCCGCCACCAGAGCCTGTTGCTGCTGGGCCTGAGCCGGCGGCTGCTGACCCGGTTGCTGCTGCTGCTGCTGCGGCGGCGGCGGCTGCGGCTGCGGCGGCACCGAGCTGGAAGTGGGACTCTGCTGACTCCCGTTGTCCTCGCTGTCGGAGCAGGACTCTGCTGACGAGCTCCCCGCTCCCCCCTTGCCCTTGCTGCCGCTGCTGCTGCTGCTGCTGCTGTGGGTCTTGACGTGCTTCGCGAGATGGTCGCTGCGCATGAACCGCTTGTTGCAGACCGGGCAGGCGAATCTCTTTTCGCCGGTGTGGGTTCGAAGGTGCCGCTGCAACTCATCCGAACGTGTGAACCGCTTGCCACAGAAAAGCCAGTTGCAAACAAACGGTCGCTCACCAGTGTGCCACCGTAAGTGGGCCTTCAGATGCGACGTTTTCCCGTAGACCTTACCGCATCCCGGTATGTGACAGCTATGGATGTTCTTCTTCCTGAGATGTACGCCGGCCGGGCCGAGCCTCTCGGCTTCTTGACAGTTTGGACAGTCGCAGGTAGCTCTGCCGGTGTACCGTCTTTGCGATCTCGGCGATGGTGCTTGACTGACACCGCCGGCCCCTACGCCGACGCCACCGCCGCTTCCTTGTGGACTACCGGCACCGGCGCCAGCGCCTGCTGTCGCGGCCGTGTGATGATGGAGGCCGAAACCGGGCGGGCCACCGGGCAACATCGATTTGTACGTGTCTTGCAGAAGATTGTGACCGGCGGTGGTCGCGGTGGTCAACAGATGATTACCCGCGAGCGCTAGGCTGGTTGAGTAGTCGGCCGAGTAGTTGGCCATTTGAGCGGCGTGAACGCCGACGCCGACCGTGCTGCTAACGTCCAACCATCCGCCGGCAGTTGCGGCCCCGTGTACGTCCCACCAGCCGTCGCTTGCTTTAATTCCGCCGTGCGTCGCGCCGGGCATCGCGTTGAACGGCCACGACTCGTACGGGTGTCGGCCGTACACGGACCCCAAGGTCGCTCCCTCGACCTTTCCTAGCAGGCTACTCTGATGATGATGCGGATCGCCGGCTGGTTGGGCGCTCGCCGTTCCCGGAAAGTACAGGTCGCTGCCGTATTGAGGCGCGGTGGAGGCGCAAGAGGTAACCGGTGCTCGAGCATAACCACCGGTGCTGCCGGCGCTGCTCGTCGCCGTTGGTCTCTGACTGACTCCGGTACTCGTGCATCCACCGCCTCCTCCACCGCCCCCTCCACCGCCTCCTCCTCCACCTCCGCTTCCAGTCGAATGCTGCGGCGAACTGCCGCTGCTCTGAGGACTCTTTTTCCACGGATGAAAACCCTTGCCCACAGCCGCGTCGGCGAGCGGCGGGGGACTTTTGCTGCTGAGCTTGTTGCACTGAGCTGCGAGCATCGCCAACGGTGTGCCCCGTAAACCGGGATGGTCCTGAAACAAAAAGAACGAACAACCAGATTACCGCTCTGTTCTCTCGTACTCTCCTGGCATCGACGTTTACATTCGGCATCGTGTTCCCTGTCGAATTTTTCGTTCGTTCGTTCGATGGGTTAAAACCGCGCGCCGGCCACGATTTTATTACGGCGAAACGCAGTCCCGAGCAGGTGTTACCCCGGTGGAATTACGGTCTCTCGGTCTACCGATACGATTACGCAAGCCGATAATAACGAGTTTCGGGACGAGCTTCGCGAATTAGGCGTCCCCTTGCGTACCTACTATATCGATCCAACGAAATCGAGCCCCGACCCCGATTGAGACGCTTTCTCAAGGTAACGCAGCTCGTAATATCGAAATCCAGCGGATGAACACTGGATGGATGCGGCCATAATCGTGGCTAAATCGACCCAAAAAGAAAAAAAAAACCCATCCCGCTCGCCACCGGCCGACGGAACCGAGTCTTTCCCCCCCCCCCCCGAGGGTGTATAATGACACTAAATTGCCGGTACTATCCTAGAAGATTCGGAAGGTTGGCGGGATAAGCAACGAAACCGGTGTAAACCGAAATATGCTCTTCCCGTGGAACGATTTAGAAAGCAACTGTTCTCGGTATTCGTCCACTCGGTGAAACGAAACGAGTACTCTACGCGATCGAAGAACGAAAAGGAATTTTTCAGCGTTTTTCGGAGGGACACGGACATCGTAGCGATTTCGGTCCCATGCAAATCATTGCGACGTCGTTCCGAGGAACGAAAGACGAGCAGACGGTCGGTGGCTACCGAAAGGCTGGAGGCTGGGAAGGGTCCGACGTGGATTCGGACATAGAAAGGTAAAAGCAAAGGGTCCGCGGAAGCGGCAGGAAATTAAAGTCTGGCGGGCCGCGCAGCCATTAGCAGCCGGCGCCATCGAGGCGACACGCCCCCACACGGTTCAACCTTGCACCAACACCGACCAAAGACAACGAGTGCGCGCACCCTTCGGTGATAGAGACGAAGAGAAAGGGCGAACAGGGGGAGAGGTAGAGACAAAGCTCTACCAATCCGTGGTCACCCCACCGTCCTGTAACTTCGGGCAAGGTTGCCAGGGTAATAACCACGGTTGCGGTCACCAGGCGAACGCCAAACTCTTTGCCCGTTCCGTTCTTCAGAAAATCTCGGAGTCGTTTGAAACGGGTCGTCGACTCGTGGATACCACTCGGAACTATTGCTACATCTTCGCAGTCATCGTTTCTCAGCTTTCATTTCGTTTCCGTTGAACCGAGAATCGAGGATTCCGATAGACAACCCGCGAGGACACACATTCTTTCGGAAAGAGAGGAGGGTGTCGTACAGGATGGCCCTCCGTGTCGTCGACGAATAGGAAGGTGACTGTAAATTTCGACGCTTGCTTGTCGAGGGGTGGAAGACAAAATCGTCCTTCCTGTCCGTGTGGCTAGGGTGCGAGCCACCAGGAAGGGGAGAGGAAGCGAAGGAGAGACAATGTGCAAACTGGGGAAAGAGAGAGAGAGAGAGTATCTCTCGGCCGATGGTGTACCGACCACGCCCTCTTCGAGCTTCGTGAGTGCAGGTTGTAGGCAAGCTACGTATTGATCCGTCGGTACGATATGACAGTGGCCCCGGTGGAGACAACGACGTCTCTCAATTAGCCTCCTCTGACTTTTGGTGTCACCCGTGAACGCGGTACGCGCTCCCGCGATCACGAACCTTGTTGCGGTTCAATCTGCGTTGCTGTATTCGGTTGATCGGTTAACGAGAACGCGCTGAGCGTTAATAGGGTTATCGATTAGGACGATATTAGCCAGCCGGCAGTTGTGGCCGGCTCTGTAATTACGCAGCGCAGAACGAAAAGGAGTCGTTATTGCATGCTGGTAGCACGAGCGCGAGAGGCGCCTTCGGGTCGCCGATACACATGCATTGTACCCGGCTTACTCGGTTCTCGTCTATTATACCTGTCCTCCGTCAATTACCGCGATTCTTCGTCGAGACGTTCATGTTTTATGAACGTTACGCACGCATGTTGCTGTTGAAGTGGTACGCCTTTCTTTCGTTTGTACAACCGACTTAAAATCCAGTCAGCGAACAAACGAATAAAAAGAAAAAAAAAGTCGTTCGAGGAACGAAAAGCTCGCGAACCGTAAAGCGTCCGAGCAAACGAGGATCCGTCGTAGGTTTCGCGCCCTCCTGTCGGCACAGTTGAAAGAGACCGATCGTAGGATGGGCACGGTTAGGATCCTTTGTTTTAGGCGCGTGACGTCACGCCCATCGGAACCAGCTAGGACTAATAACGCTCTCGGTTGTGCCGCGCATAAATTAAAACCAGGGAGCTCGTTGTTTCACGTCTTCCATCGGCCTTTCCGTTCGGAGTGGCTACCTTCCGAGAAGTCTACCCAACGTCGTCCCAGTCGGCTACCCGAAGGGATGCAGAACGTCGTAAAGAGTTCTGAACGCGCGAACCGCGCGTTTTTGCAAACACTACAAGGGCATATCCCCCTCGTCGTCGACGCGATTCGGTGGTCGTCGTTTACTCCCGGTCGTAGAGAAGTCCTTGCAGAAAATCTTACGGCCGAGTTGACCGGCGATGCGTGTCGAACCGTGCCGACAGTGTGGCGAATGAGATTCATGACGCGTCAAAGGCGATCCATGGATGCTACGCGACGAACTTAGGTATGCCGTGAAAACGTTACGTCGATTCAAAACGGGATCACCAGTGGATTTAATAAAACCGGTAGTAGTTTGATGATCTTTCATGCCGGTTAAACGAACCCAGGCGAATTCCGTTGGAGAAAGCGAACGTGTTGTTGAATAGATGAAATAAAACGAGACAGACGTGTGTGTCGAGGCGAGAACAAGAGCCACGCGACAGCTGCGGAGGCGTTTAGGTTCGCGCGCGACAGCCGACCGACCGACAGCAGCAGTGGCAAGGGTGCGAACTCGGTAGACCGTGGGGTGTCGATTCAACGGGGCTTGCGGCGAACCGCATCCGACGTCTACGCGGCAAACTTCTTTTCCTACCCAGCACACATTGGTGGTGTCCGTGTCCGGTCGGAACGACGAGGCATCCGGTTCGCCGCAAATAGAGTGTTTTGTCACGGGGCCAAAAAGCCGAGCGTCGTTCTCGACCTCGAATCGGTAGAATTGAGTTCCTAGTCTCGAAGTCACGGCAGTTTCGGACGCTGAGAAGACGATGAAAAAGAATATCGATGGAAAAAGGGCAGGGAGAAGAAGGTCGGGGTCTTCTTTGTCCGGTAATAGAGCTGGATGCGAAATTAGTCGGCAGTCTTTTCTGGTTTTCGTGTAAAAACCGACGGTTGTTCCCAAAAGCCATTGACCGCCGCCTTCTCACAGCCACCTGCTTCGAGGCTCTCTTGACCGCCTCTGCTTCACTCCGATTCGACTCACCTGCGTCGACCCCGGAGGGAGTGACCGAATCTAACAGTGGTCGCGCGGTTTTTCCGAAACGTTGGGATTTAGGAGCGTTCCGCGAGACGATCGTTCAGGTTTATCTTGTCGGCTGGCTCCGATATTTCTCGAGACACTCGTAAACCGCGCGCAGCAGTAAAGGTTTTTCGTTTCCTGGCCGCCGCGTCGTATCCACCGTCCCGCGGTTATACCACCGAGAAACGGCCCACGCGCAATCTTAATATCGATCTGGTTCCTATAAAAGCAACGCTGAGCCGGTTGTAAAAAATGTACTCTTCCGTAACAACTCGGCGCGGCAATAAAAACGACCGCGAGGGATTAAATTAAAGCGAGCCGTCGTGTGTACACGGGTAGCCCCGAGCCTCCACGGTTTGCGCAAAATTTTCGTATTTTCGCTGTTAATTACCTCTCCTTACCGGCCACCCAGAAAATATGGTTCTCCGCGAGCGCATCTACCGGACGGGATGCCGTTACGTCGCCGCGAGGGTCGTCGTTACCGGTCTCTCTGCTTGGAATCGCAATGTCGCGAGTCTCTCGGATACACAAATAGGGTATACTGTTGGACGACGAACTTGTTATCGCCAAGATATCTCGGTCGTGGACTCGCTCTTAATGCTAATTATTTTGTTTATCGTTCTCCACATGCAACTACATCGACACGCAACTCGCCGGATAAATCGGCGCAACTCTGTTAGGGCAGACCAACTGACGAAACTTATTACCCGACTCTTGGATAACGATGGCAAAGAGAGGAAGCACACCGCGTACTTTCGAGGATTTTCCAGTTCATTCAGAAGATTATAGTACGATACTTCTATGATCGTTCGCTGTAGCTAAACGTGAATTAGATACGGTGGCGACTAGGTTTCGTGAGTATCGAGAACCGAGAGATCGGCACGACGACGGAGCACACGATAAAAGTTTCACTGGAAGACGGGATTAATAATTTTATTCATGAATAACCGAGGCTGCACTGCGACGAAGCCTCCGTTAGTTCCCATCAAACGGCAGCTACCTGTTATCCTCCCTTCTAAATTATGTTTTTTAATTAAATCCATCGCGAGGTTATCTCTTTCTCGCCCTTCGTGTATCCCTGGTCCCTTCCTCTCGGCTCTCTCTGATCCGGTGTGCGCGCCACGTTACGAAAGGCCCGATCGTATATCCGAAAAAGTCTACCTCTTGCTGTATAACCGTGGCCCCGGGCCAAAACAGGGAGCTACCCAAATTTATTCGGCTATCGAGCGACCGGAGGGAACAACGGAGTGGAGGTTTCTTCCTCGCCTTCTTCTGCGTCCTCTGCTCTTTTTGCTCTTCCGCTCTCCTCGGGACGCAGAGTTTTTTGGCCCCGACAGATACACCGTTCCCTCGAGACAAATTTCAAATTGCCCTTGGACCTAATGATTTCCGGGTATATAGGATAGGAGGTTAGAAGCCACGTGAACGACAGAGTCTCGAAACGAGAGAACGTTTTCGAAGATCCCCAGCCGCAGAACGACGGCTATGTTCGTCGCGGATGAACGTCGACCGGTGCTTACCAATTCATTAGCACTCGTAAATCTGTCGCGAGCGACAACC